TTATACTGATATATTTGTTGTAATTCCATCGGCTGTTTATTTTTCAAAAAATATATTAATAATTTGTTCATATGGGTGTCTGTAGTATATTTACTAAATCCAATTTTTTTTAATTGACTGTAAAGTAAACAGGCCACTGAAAAGAAACTTGTCTTACAGCGCTCCCTAGGGGCAAAAACACGAAATGTCGCATGGCATTTTGTTTGGCGCCGATGGAGGGAGTCACTCCTGAGATCTTTGGTCAGTCAGACGGCAGAACTTCCGGTCGGCATTTTGTTCTACGAGAGGAGAGCCTCTTGATGATCGCAACAATCGTCATATTTCTCATTTACTGTCGAAATTGGCTGCATTCATTGATTATGTCGGCGCAGACCGACTGAAACTCCGAAGAACGAATGTTTCCCCATGATTGTACGCTGAAATATTCACCCTTGAGTGACGGAAGAAGAACGAATCAGCCCGACCCGGATTATTGTTGATAGCTAGCAGGCTAGCTCATCGGCTAGTTGGCAAGCCACTAGAGTTCCTTCTGGAGGAGCTGCGAGAGAGAAGAAAGGGGGAGCTAGAGATACGGACACAAACCAAGCTAAAACATTCCCCTCCCTTTGAACGCAACATCCGAAGGTAAATATAATCACACATCTGTATCTTTAATCCAACTTTTAAAATTCCGACTATTATCAATAACGTTGATAAATGTTCTGCCGTGAGACCACCTACGGCGTCGTTAATCGTTGACCGGGAGGTAACGGAAGCTAGCGAACTAGCCAGCCAGGCTAGCTTAGGTGTGTTTTTGCTGTGCCGAGGCGCACGGCCTCGACTGGATGTCATTTGTCGAGCCCGAGGATTGGGCCGTTGCCACGGAATTAGGAGTCTGTGCCGTTTTCTTTACATCTATTTACAAATGCGCCGTTTCCTCCCCGAACAAAATGGAAATTTGCTAAAAATTCATAAACCCCTAGTAGCGCTTCCTTGTATTATTTGCATTGCCTTCCGTTTATTTGAACGAGCAGAAGCATTAGGAGCTAACTGACAACATTTACAGCTAGTTAGCATAACTGGCTAGCTATTAAAACACGACTATTGTTGTTAGTGAATGTTGGGCAGCTAGCGTTACTCATCTTAGCTGCTATACTCAGTGGTAACACTAGCTTCACGCTTAGCTTGAACGATCCAGACAGTCAACTTCTTGGCAGTGCAAAGGTTGGAGAGGTTTTGTTCGCAAGTAGCGAGCTGCCGCTTGCAGTTATGCTAAGATAAACATTGAAATTGATGCTAATATTAACTGCACGGGAGCTAACTTTTTTGCTGTTATTATTAATGCTGTTTGACATCTTAGGCAGTGTTTTGGGTTATTGGAGCCTTTGGCAGGGCTAGTAGTGGTTTTGGTGGCGAACCTGCTGTGAAATATTTTGACTATGGTTCGCGCAGAAACGTACGCTGCCCCTGCTCTTCCTTGCTTTGCTGTTTGAGTTAGGTATGCATGTTGTCAGATATTTTCCCCCCTGACCAGAGCCAGTACAGTTTCGTTGGCTTTCTCGAACTAGCCAGTGTGCAGAATGTGCACGGGGGCTGACGGCTTCTGGAGGATGCAGCCCCCACTACTACCGCCACCATCACAGTGCATCTGTTCCTTTGTGCTGCCTCCTGCCTGTCAGTCTCACAGCTGTCAGCCAAGCCCCTGCATGCATAGGGAAACCACTCTACCACTGAGCATGCTAAAGTTGCCGCGTGCTAATGCACCGTTTACAGTATCCGTCTGTCGGTACCCTGCAACAGTTTTGCCGCGCACGATAAGTTTTGCCTATTAGGGATCGCATGCTTTCAGTTCATGTCGCGTTGCAGTATGTTGTTTACATATTTGCATGGCTTTAGTGATGTGCGGAAGTCGATCAAAACTTGTTGCTCTCTTAGAAGGCAGTGCCACACACTTTTCATTCAATTTTACGGATAATGTAGTGTTAACGAGATGTTCATAGCAAAACAATAATGCAGGCACTGGCATTATTTTACTGTTTTGGTTTAGCTCCATTGGCTAGCTGTAAGCAGAACTTCTTTTGAAGTCTTTACAACTAAGAGTAAAATGCAGTTTTAGGTTACTGATGCAAAGCTATTGTCTTTTTCAGCAGATTGAAGGACTTTTTTATCTGAAATGTCAGTGAGTCCACAGGAGACTGCACAGAGTTCGTCAAAAAGGTATCATTAATTTATATTTGCAAAAGCTTAAACTACTTATCCTTTATATTGACATTGTTGTTATTTCCTGTCTTGATTTTAAAAATAGTGTAAAGTGCAAAGTATCTTGTCAAGAGGTTGTGATTAGATGTGCTAAAAACATTTCAGTTGCATTTTTTCTTTGCTTGTGTGCCCCACACACACATTTGTCAGAGGTTAAGAATCTCTAACAAGCAAAGGGATTTCAATCCAAAAAAAGGGCCACAGGTTTTCAAGGTTTCTCACAGCGAGCTGTATGGTTTGAAATGAGTGATGTTTAGGTATCAGGCAATGTAGTTAAATCGTAGTAATACAAGAAGAATCCCTATTCAGATTAACAGTGCTTTTGGTATTAGAAATGGTTGTGGCTCATTTACGGAAATGCATTATCTTGAGGCTGTATAATATTTAAAAACGTGTGGTGAGGGGCAGTCATCCCATGTCAGTCTTAGTCCTTTCATTTAGCTGAGTAAGGCAAGCTTATAAAGTTTTGTTGATGTTGTGCTATTGCATTTACACCCCTTCCTCAATATTTGTTTTTGTATATTTTGCATTTCTGCTCTTAGGAGAGGTGTGAATAAAATACAGTGTCACATAAATCAGTGGTTCTCAAAGTGGGGTTAAGGACCCATAGCCAAGTGCTCTGCCAAATACATTTTACAGAAAATATTGTTCTGTGTCATTTAGAAGCATGGATTGCATATTTACAGTTGGGAATCATTTGCAGTATGTTCGCATTACTCCCTGCCTCTTAAGTGTTGTTGTTGTTGTTTTTTAACACAGCTACAACTGTTAAGATTTGAAATTACATTAACCATTATTTACCTGTAATAATAGGCTGGAAAAAGGTAATATAGCAAGAAAAAAATATAAAGTAAAACAAAAAGGAGGACAGAACCTGGCAGATGTTAAAATGTAACACCGTTTATGTTCAGGTGCTAATATCTGTTGCAGTTACAGTAGGCTCGATCATTTTATGCGCTCTCTCCCTCTCTCTCTCGTTCTCTCTTTTTCACCTTGCACTGACAGCAGTGTGTGTGTCTGAAGTGGTGAGAGCTACACCTAGGCCTTTGTCACACAGCTGTTTGACACACACACACAGTATGTGGTGGTGCAGGTGGATAATGCCCTAGTAACCTGCAGCAGTTCTGGGTTTAACAACATTTCTGTTGGAAATCCAGCTTCACTTTCTGTGATACTTGGGAGACGGGAGCTGCTGGTAGCACCCACAAATGTACAAACAGCTGACTATTGAATAGCACTCAGAAAGCACTATTGCCTAACCAGATAACTCACTAGTATTACTTAGTATTATGTGGGGATTCAGGAAAAAGTTGTAGTTTATTTTTAGTGTGACATGTATGTCATGTAACAATTAGTTGTGTTGATCTGTAACTTTGTGACCTGAGGGCTATACGACAGAGCAAGTACACACGCAGACACAAAACTAAAATTATGGATATCCCAATAGTGTCTGGCAACTTTATAAAAAAAAAAAACTTTTGTTAAATCAGGCTTTTTTTCACACAAAAAAATCTGACTTTGCACATGTTTTCATAAAGAGAATATACTGATACGCATTATGAAGAATAATCACGAATTGCAAACAAACTGCAACGTGTCTGCAATTAAGACAAGAGAAGAATATCCAGTTGTATGTGCTTATTTTAACACTCAATGCACACTCGGAGCTTGTGGTTTTTTTCTGAAGTGAACACCTTACATTAGAGCTCTTAACCTTAAAAAAAGTGATATATTTAACATGATTCCCAGGAAGTGCATTTAGGTCCCAGACTGTCTCATGTTATAGTACAGGGCAGTGTGGAAAGCACTTTAGTTAATTGACTTAGCAATTAAGTTTTTGTTTTGAATCATCTGTGTAATAAACACTAGTGGAGTGAAATTGAGTACTAAAAATGTTTTTGCATCACAGACTGTATGCTTGTCGGTTTGTGATGCGTACAGTTCGTGCTACTGTACCTGCTTGGCTTTGTACGATGGCAATACCAATGAGCGGCTCATTAGTTTTGCATATATAACGTGCTGTCTTCCCTCAGTTGAGAATATCTGTCAGCGAAAGGGTTGCACATGTTGCAACCAATTTTAATCAGAAACTTTGAATATAAAAATGAGAGATTATGAAGCCAGATTTAAAGAAAGCCACCCTTGTGACATTGAAAACTTGCCACACACACAACATGCCTCAGTAACCATTAATCACGCCTTGTGGTACATTCCTCAGGATTCAGTTCTCGGTGCTTTTGTATCTGTGGGGGCATTTCTTCAGTGACACAACTAACCTGCGCTTGTACTAGCTGCATGGCATTACTAAATGCTGTGAAAAACGTAAGATCATAATTGAATAACCAATGAAGAACACAGCATTTTATTTTGATTGACACGCTCTAGCAGGACATTGATTACAGTGCACACCATTGCCACATGAAATGTCAGCATAAAGGCAGACAGAAAAAAATACAACAAATATTTGGGTCTATTTTTATATTTAGATAATATGACTAATTATAGCATTTTTGTGTTAAACCATTTCTTTGTATACATTTTTATGACCATTAACTCATTTTGTAATTCTGTACTGCAGCAGTTCTTTCTCTCTTTTCTTGTCCATCACTAAAGCTGCTTTTGTCTTTCTCTTACCGACCTCCCTGTCTCTGCTAGGTGCCAGGAGATGTGAGGACGGGTGTCGTCCATCGACCCCCTGATCTACCTGTGTATCAACACACTCCCCCACCCTCACCTTCAGCATGAATGGGGATATGCCTCATGTTCCCATCACCACTCTTGCTGGGATCGCTAGCCTCACAGACTGTGAGTGTCACATAGTTATGTTACAAACACAAGTTTTCACAGTTCTGTTATGTCTTCTCTCCCAGTGTTAAGTCCTAAACTGCATCATTCGGTCTGAACAGATGTAAATGTGCAATAGTGATTACATGCGCATTTTGTTTTGTTTTTGTTTTTCCCCCATTTACTTCTGCGTCTCTAAACTTTTCTGAGACCTTATGTCCTGTATTGCTCACATTTTAACTCCTAAAATGTATATTTGCTGAAAACTCTCTCTTCTTGTATCAGTGTTGAACCAGCTGCCCCTCCCTTCTCCTCTACCTGCCACCACCACTAAAAGCCTCCTATACAATGGGAGGATTGCGGAGGAAGTCACATGCCTACTGGGCTGTCGGGATGAGAATCTGGCCTCCCAGCTAGCCCATGGTCTGAACCAGGTCTCCACAGAGCACATGTAAGTATATAAGTGTCTGTAAGACAATATGCTGTCAAGATGAACAAAGACACAAGGCCAACTAAAAAACAAACAAACAAACAAAAACCCCAACATGTTTTCATGGAAATATTTTGGCTTTTAAAGCTCAGACGTCAGGATAACTTGGCTTTAAAGCTGATTTAAAGCAGAAGAGATGCTTTGCATTGCTTAATTCTTTAACTAATTAAAACACAAAAGATTAATTTTTAATGAATCGGAGAGATGAAAGACTACCATGAATGTTAATGCTTCCACTGCGGGAAACTTTTCTAGGTGCAAATACTACACATAAAAAGCCAAAAACGTATGTACTGGAGAGAAAACCATTTGTGTTCTCTCCAGGTGCTCGAGTTTCCAATCCAGTTCAAAGATGTTCATGTTAGCTTATTTGCTGATTCCGAATTGGCCATACAGTCAAATTTCCTTTGACTGCTTAAAGTGTATTCAGCATTTTCTTTCTGTTTTTGACATTAAATCTGACACCTTTCTAATCTGCCTCATTGTGTTTTGATGTGAACTCATTTTGTGTGTTTTCAGAGAGCTGAAGGACAACCTGGGTAGCGATGAACCAGAGGGAGATGCACCACTGTTGCTGCAGACCATGCTGGCCAGGAACCCTGGCATCTTCAGGGAGAAAAGTATGGGCGCAATTACCTGTTGCACATTAAGTCGTTATGTTACTAATATAAAAACAAAAAAAATCAAGCTTTGTGTATATTTTTTTCTATAAAGGTTATTCATTTCAATTCTCAATTTTGTTTCTAAACAGATGTCATGCAGCAGCCAATGGTACAACCTTTTAAGATGAATTCCATGCATAGCCCTGCCCAGTCTGCAAACTTCCAGCCAGCTGCGATTTCTCCCAATCCACCAAGGCAAGATTGACAAGAATCTGGTTTATTCCAACTTTAAATTTTAAATGTTAATTAAAGCACAATACAAATACATCATGTTTGAATTTAAATAAATGTTTGGGGTTTTTTTTGTTTATGCAGTGTGCTTCTTCTTATTTGCTGTCCTTACATTTTCTCTATTCTAGCCGGTTTGTGACACCTCCGACGGGTTCCAGTAGCCGGTACATGGGCCAACAGAACAGTCCAGTACCCAGCCCATACACTCCTCAGAGCCCTGCCACAGGTTACATACAGCAGTATCCCCACCAACAACCACCCAGCTATAACCAACACCAACAGATTCAACAAGGTGAGAACCTGTGTTTAATGTTAATGCGCATGCATGGAGACTCAGAACTCATCATTAATTTTTTTCTAATGTTAAACTTGCAACTATCTAATCTTTGTTTGATTTCGTCAGCCATATCCTTAGCTTTGTCTTCTGGAAACTCTGTTCCCTTTGGATTGAATAATAAGCAGGGGTTTGACTGAATTCACATTCTTCATACATAAATTGAATGTACACTTAAGTTCTCACATCAGATAATTGTGGCTCCTATAATTAAATATAATTTGTTGAAATATTTATGTTTTGTATTTACAAGGCCATTGCTGGTGTACACAAACATTACCTTTTTCTGTTAATTCTACACGTGTGTGTGTGTGTTAACAGTGTTGTTCGATTCTCAAATATTGTTGGCTAAGCGCCAACGAAAGTTTGGTGCTTATACACAAACAGGTTGACTATACACTGATTAGGTACACATTTTAAACTGTGTGCATATTTTGTGTTGGTCTGTCTTGTTCTGAAATAGCTCTGACACATCTGGGCATGAACACTGGACCTCTGGGTGTCCTAGTGTTTGACACATTTGGTCTGTGGTTTGTGGGGTGGAGACTGTGGATCAGCTGTGTTTTGGTGCATCGAGATTACATTCTTCGTTTATGCCTTGGAGAGTTATTATAATTTAGTATTTTCTAATTCTTTTTTTTTATCTTGACATTTTTCACAATTTAGCGTAGTTTCAGTTGGTTTCCAAAATTACTTTTTGTTTCAGTTTAGTTTTTATTGTTTTAAAATGTTTCGTTTATTGGTTTCATTGCTAGTTTTAGTCGTTTTGATTATAACTGTATGAAAGGCATATGTCAGAAAAAACCTTTTGAAAGCGGTTTCAACAAACAGCACAGCCTCATCAGGCAATTTGAAATGTAGTTTTTTTTGTTTTGTTTTTAAGTTGGATTAAAATTAAGGATAGCTTCTCCAATTTTTTTCCAATATCTGTTTTTTATTTTTAGTTAACTCAAATCTTTCTTCATATCTATTGTTAGTTTTTAGATTAGTTTTAGTAAGGTCTAATAACCTTGATGGCCTGGGCTTTTATTCACCTTCTTGTTCCATACTTGAACAGTATTTATGGTGTGGTGGGATACATTGTCTTCCCTGGGGAGGAAGTTGTTGGGGAGTGCTATTACAAAAGGGTGCACTTGAAGTCAGAACTCAAGTTTCTCCGATCAATTGTAACAAAATCATGAGTTATTTACATGTCAGCAGGTTTACTTGTAGCTCATGAGTATTTGTATATGAAACCTAACTTCTGGTTGCCTTTCTATATGGTCCTGATGGTTGAAATTATTGATTCACTTATTATTTTGCCTGATGAAATCTCTTTGAGGAACTTCGAAGCATTTAAAAAAAAAATAAAAAATCACTGGTCATATGCATACTTACTTATTTTATCAGCAATTTTTGGGTACACCTCCAGTTCAAAAGAATTGTATTTATTTTGTTTTAATCAGAAATGTTTGTATTTCCCTACTAGTGGATAATAATAAAATAATTCATTTTTTTCTTCTAGTGTCTGTGGCCAGTCCCATGGTTCCAGGTGGGATAAGAAACATCCATGAGGGCAAAGTAACAGGGCAGATCCCTAATGCTGCCAACCACCACTCAGACAGACATGGTACTGAAGATTACCTGAACATTGTACATCGACTGGGAAATGAGGTACAACTGACACCATTTTTAAATAGATGAATGTGTATTTACTACATACCACAATAAAACCCTGAATATATTTATCTGGTACAATTTATTTAGGTCTTAACAGTAGCTGTGTTGATATAATTGAGAGCAATGTTGAAAGTTGATTGTAAAGGTGTTACATGCTAACTTGTGTTTGTATTGTCTCTCTTTTGCAGGAGGGTGATTCTGCCATGAGGAATCCATCTTTTCCTCTGAGGTCTCCACAGTCAGGGTGCTCCCCAGCTAGCAGTGAAGGAACGCCCAAACGTAAGGACACTCAAAGTGGAAAGGAGGCACTACAGTGCATACACTTTGCTTACCTTTTCTTCATTATGGCAGAAGCTGCTACATACTCTGAAACACTGCATTTAGGCTGTTATCCTTCATTGGTGTTGTTAGTAGTAATCAGAGAGAGATGTTTGGATTTGTGTAGTTTAATGTTTTCTGAAGAATGTCACTTTTTCACTACTCTTATCTCCTCTTCCTTGTGTTGCTTCTTCACAGCGGGTTCTCGTCCCCCACTGATTCTCCAGTCACCACCCCCGTATGCACCCTCACCAAGGGAAGGAGTACCTGACCAGAAACAGCAGCTACAGCAAAGAAAGAAAGTCCCAATAGTAAAAGAGGAGAAAGATATGTACGACATTGTTAGCTCTCCAAACAAGGACTCAACAAAGCTCACCCTCAAGCTGTCCAGGGTCAAGTCAAATGAGTCGGATCCCCCAGGTGAGATGTTATTTTTCTCCATCAGTTTCATAGCTATTTGATCTACTAGAAATGCTGATGAGGTACATTGTGATGCATCATTTTAGATCAACAGGACTACCACCACCCCGTTTGAATCCAACCACGTAAAGTGTTTCTGTTAATATCTCAGGTGATGTTATGCCAGGCATGGATCAGAACTCAGACAATATGGAGGCAGAACTGGGCTTTCAGCAGGTTCCTGTTCTCCAGCAAAATCTGGGAGCGCGGCTGCAACATCAGCAGCAAGTAGGTGGTGCCAGTGGACTTCAGCCTCCCAGTTCCCCTTATGATGAGGCAGAGCTGGATGCACTTGCTGAAATTGAAAGGATAGAACGAGAGGCTGCTAGTGAGAAGTGCTCCAAGGAGGTGCAAGATAAAGGTGTGTAAGAGAAGTTCACATAGAATTAACATTTACATATAACTCTACAGCTAAAAAATGTTTTGCTTTGAATTATAACATCTTTTCATGGTATTTAATTTTAATTACTTGTCTCTCTCTTTACAGACAAGCCACTGAAGAAGAGAAAGCAGGACTCCTTTCCCCTGGAACCAGGTGCAGGGGGACCAGGTGGGCCCACAGGTGCCCCGGGCAGCGGATCAACAGGAGGGGGCAATGCTGGCAAACTGACTCCGCAAGAGGCCACTGCAGCTGGGAACGGTGCCAGCCGCCCTCCCCTCATGGTGAGCATCGACCTCCAGCAGGCAGGCCGAGCTGACGGTCAGCTCGACCCCTGTCTGGCTGCCCCTGTCCCTGCCCTTGAGGCCCAACGCTGGCCTGAAGAACCAGCTAGTGGGCCAGCTGCTGTGGAGGGTTCTGACACAGTTTTGCGATTGAAACCAGATGGACGACCGGAAGTCATCAAGAACAGGGTCGATAAGCATGACAGCAGGAGAGAAGGTCGGGAATCCTCAAAGCACAGACATGATGAGAAGTCCTCAGACAGACGTGGAGAATTGCCCAAGTCGTCAAACAGGGACCGTGAGTCTGACAGGGATAGGAGGCATCGGAGTGAGACTGGCCGAGACAGGCGGTCCCCTGATTCTCGCTCCCGAAGCGATCGAGATAGGTCTGGCTTCAGGGCTTCCTCCACTGGAGACCCTGGTCGGAGCAGCAGTAGACAAGATGGTTCCAAACTCCCCTCGTCAGCTTCTGGTGCTAAACTTCCAGATTCTTTCCCTGCTCAGCTTCTGGGAGGGCATAGTGGCGCACTGAAGAACTTCCAGATCCCTAAGGTGATCTGGGCTGACCCAAAACAAATATCTACCCACCTACCAATCATTCAGCTGTCACTGCCTGCAATCTCACAAAACCAAATCATACCATTATACACTCTTTTGGTTTTAGTTTCCCATTTGTAAGCCTTTTTTTATTCTTGGTGTTGGTCTTTAATTTCCTTTAACACATTAACCACACTTAACTGTCTTTTAGAGTAGAAAAAGTAGAGGCAATTATTTTGTTTATCTTGTATGAATGAAAGCAAGCACATTTAAAGAAATCTTCCACTGCTGTTTTTTTGTGGGGGGATTGCATGCAAGTAAATCATTTCTGTAAGCACTTCACCTGGTTGAGTGTGACCCCTCTGCCCAAAGGATTGGTCCTTCCTGGCTAGTCCTCTGTTTGGTTATGTACTAGGCCTGACTTTCCTGTCCATCTTGACTGGCGATGCCAAAGAAAAAAGGCACAAAATGCTTCAATTTCTATGCTTAAATTATCCAGACATAATCAAACTATATATGCACTCTCTTCAGATTAGAAGTTCAAATGGTTGAAGTTCAAGAGCTCTCTGTGGTTAGAATAGAGGCGAGGCTAGAGGTGGGGCTGGACAACACCAGTGGTTCTGTAGTGAATAGACATCTGGAAGTTCTTAGTAGTACTTAGCAATGATTTAGCTGGTAATTGACAGAGCATGTCTGTCTATGGTTGTGTAGGAAAGGCTGTCAGTGCAGTGTTCTCTAAGAATTTATGACTGTCCTCATAACGGGTTGACTATGAGGACAATCATGGGAAAAATCATGTTGTAAGAAATTTTATGCCCAGATTGTTGACATGACATTGAAGATCAAGAGTGGTACGATGACTGAAATGATGTTAAAAATAGCTGGTTAGGTATTTAAATGTTATTCAGTTACTAAGGATTTGTGGACTTGACAAAGCTTCTTAAATATATTCTTAATGTGAACAAAGGTTGCATCAATGAGCTGCTGCTCACTCCCACTTTTCACTTGGCACAATTAGCACAAATTACTTGTTGCACTGCAAGCACGATACAAGTGGGAACATCCAAAAGTTTTGGTTAGTCACTCCCAATTAGAAGTGGGACTGCACTGCAGTGTCGACAACACGCTGTGTTCACTGTTTGTTCTACAAGTTAAGACCTGGATATTTTTGGAAAAACAGTGGAATATATCTTTGTGCTTTGCTATCAAGACACTGGAAACTAACATCAAAATCACCAATTTCATTTCAGTTTGAGTCATTATTCACACCTTATTTTCTGTTCTGAATGAAGCCCATGTTTTCTTTCTAATTGTGTGAAGTGTGGAATATATTGATTTTTGAACTTGACTATACTGGATGTTTTTTCTCACTCCTATCTTATTTTTTCCTCCCAGATCAATCGTGACAAGGAAGGCAGTGGATCGACTGAAAGTCATATGTGGGGCCAGCCAAAAGTTAAACTGGAGAGGCTGGGATTGGTGCAGGACTTGGAGAAGCGCCCCAAGCCTGTAGTGGTTCTAAAAAAGCTATCAGTTGACCAAATCCAGAGGATCATTCGGCACAGCAAGTCTGGAAAGAACCGACTCTCCTCAGGAAAGTCCAGCAAAAGTAAGAAGCTGTTTTTAAATTATATTTACAATGTGTTTTTTCACTCTATACCAGTGGTTCCCAAACTTTTTTTTGGTAGGCCCCCCTTTATTTTACAAGAAATTCAGTTATGCTTCATCTCCTGCTTTGCGTTTCTGTGGGGGCCCCGTGCTAGCAGTGTCCAAGCGTTTGTGGTTTTTTG